TATCATCATTGTCATCATCATCATCATCATCATCATCATCATCATCATTTTAATTACCTTTCATGAGTGTTTAATTGTTTTTAATTAGTCTTTCAGTTTTTTGTCTATAGTTTTTATTAATTTTTAGTTTTAGTTATTTTATTACATTGTTACACTAAATGAAAATGAGATTTAGTTAGCTATAATAGCTCTATAATAACTATTAATAAGTCAGTCGGTCAATTAGTTAGTTTGTTTGTATTTATTGCCAGTATTACACATTTTTGAAGGGAGGGCACTCAGACATTTTTTCACAATTTTCATCAGATTCATAGCAAAACAGACACTATTATATATATCTTTGTGAATATTTTTCTCTCCTTGTAATTGAATTCAACTTAAATTCTGGCATAGAGTTGCAAACCCTGAAAGAATTATCACATCTTTTTAAAGAAGCAACATTATATTTTATAAACCGCCTTGTTATGGCCACCCACTGTTTTTTTGTTCCTAAACCTTTTTGTCATGTTCTTCTCTGCACCTTCACACTTTTTTTTCCCATTTCCATTCTTTGTTTTGGTTTTGGTTGGGAGAGGTTGAGTCACACTGTGCGCATGAAGACTAATATGCACATCCAAGGAAGGCGACAGAATCCGTGCTCTGTAGGGCACTTGTGAGTCACTCGATGACCGACTTCAAATATGACGCACATTCAAACACCCAATTACCAGAATGCCTCTGCGTGCACATCCAACATGCTCAAAAACACATATCCAAGCAACGCATTGTCTTTAAAACGACACTTTAATGATGTCACTGTCCTCTCATCCACCACAGAAGAAACGACAGCTACATGCTGTCCTCTAATCAGTGCCATTATGTTTCTTTTTCACTTCTATTCCTGAGGTGATTTGAATAGTGGACCATGGTGGATTTCCATGTTCCTCGTTGATTGATTGTCCAATGAAGCCAAGCTTAATGAGCAGTTCTCACATCAGGCTGAACAGACTGGCAGTAATTTGTCATGAAAAAGAATGAGGGAGAAGTGGTGTGTTTGTTACCGCTGTAAACCTTTATATTTCATATGGTTGTAGAACCAGCTCAATTTCCTTTTGATGTAAACTGTTGATATTTAGTGGAGAATCATTTTTAGAGGTCAGAGATGTGCTTAACGTTAAAGT